CAGTCTGTCTATTACATTTCAGCATATGATTGGTAAATTTGCAAAAGCGTGTTTTTGTATGCCTTGCAGATTTAAATCAACGTTCTCAGCATTTTGCACTTTCTTCAATCATCCTATTGTTCCTCAATTGCTCYTTGTTCTTGCTTCTTACTATGTTTCTTCTTCATGGTCAGCGMGAKGTACATGTTACACTGCTGTAGTCACRTCCTCCTCTTTCCCATCCTCTTCTATCTCACTCTGCTCTATCTTGTAGTCTGGGTTGCTCAGTAACAGCAATTCATAATCTCGTTCCCACAAAAACCTGTCCAACAGAGATTCACCTAACTGAGATCCTTCTACAGCACTCAAAGAGGAGAGGAGGAACTTCAGCAAGAGACCCTTTGCTCCCAGGGGAGATGCATCAGCACAGCAGTGCCGAGCATAAGGCAATGGGATTCAGTACCTTTGCATGCAAATAACCTTTCCTTTCTCCTTCTCCTTTAAATATAATTTATTTAGATAGTATAGTGYCCAGGAACTCAGGTTGGTTATAGTAGGAAGTTGGATCTGGGCTCACTGGTAATACTTTGCAGAAGAATTTTGCACAGGCAGTAAACTGGATTTTCTGTGGAATATAGTGGCTCAAACAGACATACATGTTTAAAATGCAACCACTAACTTCAGCTACTTACAGCTACTGAGTTCCTTTCCATGCTTTGCTGCCGGTCTAATCACAAAATCAGTATTCATGTGGATCAAATGGAGTTTTGCCATTGCCCTCAGTGGATCAAGATCAGGGTGTCAGAGGAAACAGAGGTATTCTCTGAAGTGTTACTGGAAAATTAGCCATATTTACACAAATCACTTTCTACTGCTAACTGAGTTTAAGCCTTCAAAATACAATTCCCTTGTCTTACATATCGCAATTCCTTTGCATTTTCTTGGATTGTCAAGCCTGAACAGTACTCCCTTATTCTGTTTTCCAGAAGATCCTGGCATCCTGTCTTTCAAGAAGGGAGACTTGCTAATCTTCACTGAAGACAAAAGGCTGGATGCAGACTCTGGCTGGATCTGTGCCCAGAATGAAAGGACAGGCAAAACAGGGAATGTATTTCTGGAAGACATCTACATCATTCCTTCTCTCACAAAACCCTCTAGTCAAGTGCTGGTAAGGAAAGCTAAGTGGTCTCTGTGAAAAGACTGGAAGAAGATAAAAATGCTAAATATGGCTGATTTTATAACTGGAAGACAATTGTTCCTCCAAAGTCAGACAAATTCTATACCTCCCATTGAAACAAAGCATTTCATTCTGTTCTGTCTGAAAAAAAAAAMCCCCTAAATCTAGCCCAGACTCTAAGGAAAAGACTGCAGCTGCACAAAAGCAATGACTTAAAAAACACCCCTAAACCCCAGTCTATTCTCCATGGGGCATTTCAGTGCCTGGAACTGGTAGCAATTAACAGGTATGGGTGCGCAGTTGAATTTTACTCAATTCCCTCTGGGCTTGAGTGGTGATCACATTATGGCTCAATGGAAGCACTGAGTGCAGCAGGTTACTTTAAGAGAATATGATCTTTGAGGGAGTCAAGGTTTCTCACTGATGCCTGTGCTAATAATTTTGTCTTCAGTTTTAGGGATTCAGTGTATTGGATGCTGTTCTAACAGGTAAAAAGCTGAAAAACTGGTGGGAAAACACACTAGAGAGAAGCAAGTGCATTGTAAAACGTGTTGTGCTTTGGATAATCYCATACATTTTAATGTCCACTATTGTTGGGTCTGTGTAAATTGCTTCTTTGAGTTCCCAGATCTTTCTTCAGTCTCTGGAGATGCTGGTTTTGGGATAGATGGTCTCAGGCACCACAGAGCAGTACCTGCACATATATGCTCAGTAACACCTGACAGCACATGCAGACACCTGTCTCCATGTGACATCTCTGTGTGGCTGTGTTATTCCAGAATTTGCTGATGATGTCTCCAGACCAGAGGAGGACAGCTTCACAAAACTCTTTCATGGAGGAACCTGATGAAGAGGCTGTCAAGGTGAAGCCTTACACCCTGGAGGAGTTCTCCTACGAACACTTCAGGTGAAGCTCTCTGTGTAGAGTACGCCCTAGAAAAGTTCTTGTTGACTGCTAATCCTTAAAGCCTATGATGTAATGGCATCTCCCACTTCTGATTGGGTTTCTTCTTTTCGTTGCCTGTAATTGTAACTTTGGATATGTAGAGATTCTGGCACATGGCCTATTTTATCTTAAGTCTGCAGAAATGCAAAGGGGAGGGTAGAAGAACCCCAGCTGGACTGACTTCCTTCCAGCAGGCCCTATTCTTACTTCTCACCCCTTCTTCAGCACTTACCAGCTAGGATATACATCTCAGGCCTCAGAATGTAAGAGGAAAATTAATTTTCTAAAACCTCCTTTCTTTTTGCAAGTCTCCTACCTTCTGAATATACAGAAAGCTACATTTCCCTGCTCTTGTTGACCTGCAGAATGAAAGGAGATCTGAGATCACTGTCTTGAGAAAGAACAGTTCTACAGATATGACTTTGTGATAATGGCCTCCTATGTTTACAGAAATACTGATCCAGTAAGTTTATATTGACTGCACTTGTCTTCGTTCAGGACTCCTGAGAAGGAATCCATCAGCAAAGCTGTTCTCCAGAAATCCCGTGGGCACAGTCAACTGTGGGCACACTCTAAGGAGCCTCTGAAACAGCCGTTGCTGAAGAAAGCATGCACAGACCCTGATCTTCGGGATTTGGCATGTCAGGCCTTCATTGATATCCTTTCTCTTCTTTCTTTGGGACCTAAAAGCACTCAGGGGAAGGAAGAGATAGCTAGGTCTACTAAACTACCTCTACTCAGATACCTCAGCCACCTTACAGGGGATACATTTGCATACAAGATGGAGCAGATCAAATCTGTTTCCCTTGTCTACAGAGGAAAAGGGTTCCTATTCCTTCCCAATGCTCCACAGCTACTGATGGCTCACTTAACTGAATGTGGCCATAGGAGTGAGTGAGATTTACTGCGTATGCCCAGATAAAGCAGCTACGAGCACAGCCAAGCAGCAACCACTRCATAGGGAAAGGGATAGAGGAAAGACAGGGAACATGTTCCAGGCCTTCCTCCCAGTATTTGCCACTTAGACATCAACAAAGTTATCAACATGTTAGGATCCAAACAAAACTTCCMATTACCTTCCAAAATCAGTCTGTTTTTCTCCTTAATGGCACACTTACCCATCATGAAATTCATGGGAGACTACCCCTCAAAACAGGCACACTCCTCCGTGGAAGTCACTGACCAGATATTTGTGCCAGCTATCCAGGAGGAGATCCTGCGGGATGAGATTTACTGTCAGATTATGAAGCAACTGACTGAGAACCGAAATAGGTATTCACCTGGGTGCAAACAACCTGCTCCTGCAGAGCCAGGCCTCAAGTGCAGGGGGCATCAGGAACCCCTGCTACACTTGTGATGTGGTGGGGGCAGGGGGAAAGATAAACAAATGTTGGAGTAACAGCTTCCCTTCCCCCTTTTGCTAGGCAGTGATGTCGGGGTCACCTTTGAGGAGTGATGTTTGCCTGGCAGGGAGAGACCAGAGAGCAACTTCAATCATCTCCCTTGAGCAGCTGGTTTGCTCCCATCAGCATTCCATGCTCATCTCCTTTTGGTATGAGGCAGGCAAGGTGTCACTGAGGCTCTTCCCGTGACAAAGAGCCGTATGAGGCTCCCAAAGCAGTCTGTCGGGGAAACAGAGCACTGCATAGTCCTTGCAACCCTTCAATTGCCTGCCCTGACAATTCTCCATTTAAATTTCCCAGTGGCAGCATTCCCCTCTCACAAAAACATAGTTTACACTGGATTTTTACTACCAGTGAATACTTTYGGATGTATATATTAATTAGGTTACATAACTGCCTTGCAGAACAAATTAGTTACAGAGGCCCCTGCCCACATAAAAGTCTCTGAAACAGGCTAGTGTTTTCTTCCCTACTCACAAAATGATAATTTGATCTACTTCCAGGGGAACTGAATTGCAAAAAGCAGCTTAAAATAATATTAATTATAAACACAATTGTTTGTCTATTTCTGGATGCATTGTGTTTATTTATTTATTTATTTTATTTCTTACTGTTCCACAAGTATTACACATAGGGAAATTTTCATCATGTGTGTAAATGTTGAATGGTAAATTCCCTTGAATGCAGTGAATCTTACAGGCTGTTTAATGCATAATCTGTAACCATGGTGCCAGTGCCATGCCTGATGTATTCCACCAAATTAGTAGCTGTTGTGAGAGGGATCACTGATGCAGAAAAAACAATGCTTGAAAGGTGGCTATTTCCATATACTTTCATTAAAACAGACAGAGCAACCAATCCTTCATTCTTCCCAGGCTGCTCTGTTGTGGACCATATCCCGCTCTCTCATAGACACAAATACCACTGATCTATAGAGTATAAATGGGATTAAAATAGTGTATCTTCCTCTGCAAAATTAGAGCAGAAAATGAGAAAAAAGAAGCCAGAACCTCTTTGGCTCTGAAAGGACATCAGACTTCACTGAACAGACATGCTGAGTTTGCCAACCAAAACCACTTCACACCAGTGAGCATTTCAGAGCAATCTGGGGTACAGCTGAACTGTGTTCTGCTCCTGGCTTTGAGGCAGAATGTCTGCCCACCTTAAGGTTGCAGAGCCCTTCTTTATGGTGAGGGCAAGGTGCAAGAGCTTCAGCAGGTGGATTTCACAGATGCAGAGGCTGGAAGAACTGGATTTCTGCCTGAAGAATAGTACCAGTTTGATCTGGAGCACTTACAAACTGCWATTACTATGCTACATAATGCTATCAACATGTTCATTTTTCAGAACAGAACAGGAGTAAATTAAGGGGAAGCCAGTGCATGCAAAGCACTCATGCCCTGAGCAAAAGCTGGGCAGTGCAGAGGGGAGATGAATACAACCATTGAGAAACCACAATCTGAATGCATGTGAGCTTGAACACCAAATCAACAGTGGCTTTCCAAGCCACTGGGATGGCACCAGGGTCACTACTGCTAAGATGTCTGCTAAATTGGAACTTACATTTATTCATGAAGTTTGTATCTGTCATGAGTATTTCTCATGCAGGACTTGGCATTGTCTTCACATGCAGGCTGTGGTTGTTGCACAGCAAATGAATACCAGAGCCTTGGTAAAGGCTCTATTGATTTGCAGCTCTTTGCTGATTGGGACCATGATGGGAGAGTATTTCTCTTTCCTGTAGCTGATGTGTGGTCAAACAGAGAATTATATGTTGCTGTAGCAGAACTGTTGGCTTTGTGTTCTCAGGTACAGTGAGACCAAGGGTTGGCAGCTCCTCTGGCTCTGCACTGGCCTCTTCCCACCCAGCAAGTCACTGCTCAAACACACCCAAAAGTTCATGGAGACACGTCAGAAAGAAACACTGGCCCCGGGGTGCCGTCGGAGGATTCAAACAGTAATGAGGTAAATAATCTGGAACCTAACCAGCTCAGTGTTCAAATATCAATAACTAGGTTCCAAAAAAACACATCTGCTAAAATAGTGTGACTCTCACTTTCCTTTCCCTCTTCACATCCTAGTTTTTTTTCAAGTCATTATTACTTAAGAGAGGTGTATGTCACAGTTTCACTTTTTTCTTTCACAGCGTTAGCAGCATTTTAAAAAGTTCATCATCACACATAATCACTTGACTCCCAGAGCTGGGTATTTCAAACATCCTAAAGGGCATGCAGCTTGGAATGATGTCATTGATGATGTCCTGACCTTACTTTTTTTTGGCGAGGCAACATGTCCTTGTTGAAAGGATCAGTGCAATCAATTCCTGTTCTTTGAAAAAACTCAAAGGTACAAAGCCCTGACTCTTGCTTACAGCCAAGGCACTTCTCCATCCACTTGGCATTACACCCAGCTGAAGCAATAAGCGCTTCCTGAGCTTCCGAATGAGTTGTTGTACTAAGGGACATGATACAACCAAAGAGAGGCGAAGGGCTAACAGCGTTTCAGCTGAACTGTAGGGGAAAGGTTTCTCTAGAATCCTCCAAGTACTCGAATTACACAGCTTGCCACTCTGAGAACAGAGCTTTGGCATCAAGGTTGAGTCCAGCTTTCTCCCTTTTGATGGTGCTGTGATTTACAGCCTGCTGCCACAGACCTCATCAGTAAAGAATCTGCCCAATGATTTCTCCTTCCAGCTCCCCCATCCTCCCCCTTCTCTCAGTCTAGGCCTCACATTTGGTCTGTGAGCCCCATGGGTCAGGCTCTAGGGGAATGCTAACACAGCAGATATCCTCCTTGCAGTGGATGGGGTTTGGTACTGCTGGGGAAATGCCACCACAAACTGAACTTGCCCTTGAGGTGTCTGAAAAATGCATGGCAAGGACTTCTATTCATTGATTATTTCTATAAAGAAGACTGAAGAATCCCTGCCTCCCTATATCATGTGCTATTCATGCTCTAAGCCCATTGACCTGTACAGAGCTTCTTTAGCGAGAGCAAACAGGGAGAAGAAAGCATAATGGGCTGTTTAGGAGGAGAATTTTATCTGCGAAACTGCCGCAGTTCTGGAGCCTGGGGGATGGGAAGAGGAACAAAGACAAATTGTGTCTTCTAAGAGCAGTTCTTTTCCTAAGATTAAACTTGTACCTGCTTAGACTGGAATGGAATGGAATGGAATGGAATGGAATGGAATGGAATGGAATAGAATAGAATAGAATAGAATAGAATAGAATAGAATAGAATAGAATAGAATAGAATAGAATAGAATAGAATAGAATAGAATAGAATAAGCTATTTCACTTGGAAGGGACCTTCAACGATCATCTAGTCCAACTTCTCTCTGTAAGTAACCTGGTCTCTTTGGAAAGGGGAGAGCAGGCAGCTCAAAGGATTGACCTACAATACATACAGGGGAAGCCAACTGAGCCCTTGGGTACACACCTTTTCCTCCATAAACTACTTTACAGCTTTATCCCCAGAATCCTGGCCAGGGAACCACCCTGATGGGTGTTAAGCAGATCTCACCTTGGCAGTCAATTCCTAGCTCAGGCTGCAAGAAAAGGTGAGTAGCCCTATGTCTCTCCAGCCAAGCTGCTGCACTTCCTTAAGCTCTGATGCCAGTTCAGGAACAGGTGACTGAATGGGGCAGGTCCACACTTCATACAGTGCCTGCATAGTACAAAGCACATGCTGTTCTGCTTGGTTACAGTCAAGTTTTCCTTCTCCAAATAGAAATGCTTCTTTATTGAATGGAAAAAAAATATTTTCAGGTGTACACAATTAAAGCTTGGATCCAGACTAACCTCCTCCTGAGATCCTGACCCAGTGTGAGAGACCTACAAGTTATGGTGTTCAAAATATCTGAACAACCTGCTCTTTGCCATTGAGGGCAGGAATTTACCAGCTCCAGGAGGCAATTGGCTAGATTTTCTCACTTAACTATGTCAAGGTTTTGACATGACTGAGACTTCAGGGCCAGTTCCTTTGCTTTAAAAGGCAGCTCTGCTCAGGTATAATTTCAAAGAACTGGGTTTGTACAGCTTAAGCACTTCCTGAGTCAGTGATTGCAGTCCAGTTCTTATATAAAACCTAATGCTTTCAGCAGCCCTCCAGACCTTTTTCATACTTGGGCTCCAAGTTATTTTGTATCCAAATACATATCCTTTTGCTGATGCAGGAATTAAATAAAATCTATTTTTACTTGTAGCTATAATATTCACACTTCAGAATAGAAGAAGCAATGGTACTGGCTTGGTGCCTTATTCATGCAACCTCCTTGCAGAGTAGAACAGACTTTTACTTTACATGCGAATAAGACSCCCAGTTTTTTGCTGTTAATACACTGAATTTACACTGGGTTGGAGGTTCACTGGAGCCCGGCCTATTGCACAGTACTGTCATTTTGGAAGATGTCTGCTGTTCGACTGGAATACTGTTGTTCAGCTCCTCAGTGATTAAACTGATCGCTCTTATGATGATGGTGGCATTTTCCAGGAGYGGCTGCAGGAAGTGGGCACCTCATCCTGTGGAGGTTGAGGCCATCTTACAGAACAACACTAAGATCTCACATAAGATTTGCTTCCCCAATGAAACAGAACAGGTGAGCACTTACTTGTTTTCCCAGTCTCGACCATTTGTCCAGCCATGATGTGTTCATCCAGGAGCATGTGTGAAGAAATTCAGTATTCTTATTTCTTCAACTCCTCTGTGTAACAAGAGTCTTGTTATCTCATAGACATTTGATGTGGGAACAAACACCAAAATCCGGACTCTGTGTCAGAACATTGCTTCCAGATTGCAGCTGAACTCCTGGGAAGGTTTCAGCCTATTTGTGAAGATTGCAGACAAGGTAAATCCTTCTTGACTCTGGCAGGGTAGCCAGACTGCYCCATCTCTCTTAATTATTTACTAGACCACCTAAACAACCATATAAAGCCGTGAACCAGAGCAGGTGATTACTGCTTCTGTCTTACTGAGGGGATACAACCTAAACTTGAACTTTTAGCACCTGACAATTGTTTTCAGTCTCTTGAAGGGGCTGGTTGGAGATGCAGGACTTCTATCAGTGTGCCAGTACCCCRGTGGCACTAAAAGCAGAGAAGATGTATGTTTTCTGGCAGCTRCTAGGATGGTTGCATATTGCTGGATTCAGCTTTTTTTTTTTTTTACCCAGGCTTTGCCCAGGAGATGTGCTGTGCATRTAAAGTGTCTGCTAGGATTAGGGAAAGCAGAGGCAACCAGCACCAGTTGATTACCCTCTGCTTTGTCAGGAGCTTGCCTTGCCTGAGCTGAAGCTTGGGCCGGTTGTTCCGCTGAGAGGTCCCTTCTCTCTGAAGGTGTGATCAAGGCAAAAGCAGCACTGAGACCTAGCACAGGCAGTTTCTGCTGTGCTGTCTTCCTCAAAAGAGACACCCATTATGTAACAACACTTTACAAAGAGAAGAAGACTGGGGATAAGGTAGGCATCTTCATCATGACATCAACAAGCAGCTTGGAAAGCAAAAAGCAACAGAAGGTGCAATAAAGATCCCCATATGAAATGTAAATAAATTGAGCCTTCCTCCTCCTATTTTTCTCCTTTTTTTCCTGTTGTACTTCTGCCCTCTCACTGTAGACAGGGAAAGAAAATTCAGCCTGATACTTGGGTATGTGGCACAGGCAGTATTTTATATGATGTGCTAACCTCTTCTTTCTCTCCTTCATTGCTTGACCTCTGCAGGTGATCAGTCAGAATGAAGCAGACTACTTCTTCGACTCACTAAGGCAGGTGACAGACTGGAACAGGAGGAACAAACCGGGGAAAGATGGTAAGGAGAATGCCAGCATGTTAAGATGCAGCATGAGATGCTGTGTTGAACTGGAAAACAGCTGATCCATTCAGTAGGATTCACAGAGTCTTATATAATTTTTGTTTGTACATACATGGTTACTGCCTGCAGCAGCAGCAAGATCCAGTGACCTGATGCAGCCAAGCACTGGCTATCAAAAACACCAGAACATTTCTGGGGGTAGATCTCTCCAGAAATTTTAAATTGTAAATGAAGAATTTTTTTTTACCTGTTGTATCCAAAACACACAGCTGGATACGTGCAAGTTAGATACATTGATACTCAAACATTAAGAATCAGCCAACCCATSCAAACAGGTTCTTTACACACTGTCACTCACATTCCTTGGGTTGTTACAAAATTTTTAACCAGGTTATTACCTGGTGATACCCAAGCACAAGTTATGTTGCCAGGGAACCACTTGTTAGAATAAAATCATGTAATACTAATAACAGCAATTCCTTGCACTTACCGTCCCATCCATGGATATATATTTTGAAATCTACACCAAACTCAAACTGCACTCAAATTTCATATCAATTTGTCCTGAACATTGCTTATTTCAGGACATCTGAGGTTCAACTTCCTGAAGCTCTGTCTATGTATCTAAGACTRACTTCTCTTCCCTCAGCTATGTAGCTGCTAGGAGCTCTGAAAATCACCATTTAAAGATGTGGGTGCACTAAATCACAATTCATTTGTATAAGCACTGCCTTCAGGGGATATACTTGCATCAGTGTAAGAGAATTTGGGTGTGCTGCACACCACTAGGCAGCTGTCAGGAGCACCAATAACAAACACTCAATGGCAGTCCCTCAAATTCTCCTCCATCTGATCATTGCATGAATAGTATCCAGGAACTGAAAGTAATTTCTTTTGTAATCTAAAATGTCTTTTGGTGTTGTTTTGTGAGTAATTTTGTTACTATTAAAACCACAATTTTCTGAAGAAGTTCACAAGCCATTTAAAAACTGTGGAACTCTCAGTGACACAGAGAACACTAATAAGATCTGCTCTCCTTAGGGACTGCTCTGTCTGTGGCCTATGAGGTGTACTTCATGAGAAAGCTGTGGCTGAATGTTACTCCTGGCAAGGACCTGAAAGCTGATACCATTTTCCATTACCACCAGGTAAGCAGGTGCCTAAAGCAGAAATATCTTATGATCCAAAAAATAGTCCTGAAAAATTAAGTCTGTAGGAGTTTTACGATCTCCCTCTCCAAAACCAGCATTATAGAGCTTCCAGAGGAATGCCTCCAACAGAGGATGGCTCAACTCAGCCTCAGGAACAGATTTATTTCTCACAGTGTTCACACCTTAGCTATACCGAACAWGTTAAAAGTACAGCTCTCTTACCTCATTATTCTGTGGAAATAYTCATCTTGCTCCAAAAATCACAGGAAGTTTGGGGTTGGAAAGAATCTTTAAAGATCATCCAGAGAACCTTGAGAAGGAGTCAAAAGTTCTTGGGATGTCCTTGGACTGTGTTTGGCAAGATTCACATCCTGACATCACAAATTTAGAATGCTTAAGTCAGTGTTTGCTTTAGCCCATTCTGCCTGGATTCAGAGCTAGTCTCTTCCAGGAGCTGCCAAAGTACCTCAGAGGCTACCACAAGTGTTCCAAGGATGAAGCTGTGCAGCTGGCAGGGCTGATTTATAAAGTGAATTTCAACAATGACCGCACACAGCTGGCAGCCATCCCCAAAATCCTGAAGGAGCTGGTGCCAGACAATCTGCTCCGAGCAGTATCACCAGATGAATGGAAGAAGGTAAGAACATCAGCTTTCATTAGTCATATTACATACACAGAGCTTAAGGAGAGAAGAGCCACACTTCATTTTTGATCTGATGGTCTCTGAAAGCACCATGGAGAGATGGTATTGGATATTGCTGGATTTGCCAGCAGGATGGTAAGAGGATTTGCCTCTTACAATCCAGATTTTACATACACTACCAAAGTTCTGAAAGATATCTGCAGGCCTGGAAGGCTTACCTGAGGTGTGCATCTTTCTTGGAGATACTAATTGATTTCCAGTACCCAGAAAAAGAGTTAAGAGATAGGAYAGTCAGTAATGGAACTTGGAAGTTGAGGATATTGGACAGAAACAGAAAATTAAGGTGTCTCATAACTATTTCTTAGTTTGGCAGCAAATCAATCTCCTTGCACCGTGACCATGCTACTTAGAGCAAAAGGTTGTTTTATCCACAAAAGGGGCAAGGAAGTTTTAGCAGGTACTTATCACATAGTCTGCTGAGGAAAACACAGGACACTCTTTCAAATACAAAGGGAAAATTCASCCTATATTTTTCAGCCAAAGATGCAATAGGTGTCTGTGGGTGTTGAACTGGCTTTTTGAGTTTTATCTAACTACTGCCTCTCCACCCTGAAGTCAGTTTCCTWGGGCTGCTGGGCTTCCTTCATCCAGCACAGGAATAAGGAACACTGGAGGATTCTGGCTTCACTTTGCCCCAYGGCATGACAGCTGTTCTCATTTTCAGATTCTTTTGTTGCTGGGGCAAAAAGCTGATCGTGGTGATGAGCTGATGCTGACTATAGTGCTAATGCTGCGCATTGGAAACCTGCCTGTCTCCAATTCAGTTGGCTTTTTATCCTCTTTTCCTAAACAGAGCATTATTGCAGCATATAGTAAACATGAAGGAAAAACTGTGGATGAGGCAAAGATTGCTTTCTTGAAAATGATACACCGGTGGCCAACGTTTGGATCAGCCTTCTTTGAGGTGAAGGTAGGTCTGAACACCTGTGTGAGTGGATTTGGTAGTAGATCAGTACCAAGGAATACAGACCGAGYACAGCTCCATATTTGAAAGTGAAAATACATTATAAAGCTGGATTCCTGTAAACTATTGAGGAAAACTCAGTTCCTTCCAAGTTGGGAGATGGATTCTCTACCCATTCTGAACTATGCCTGTTGTTTAATAGCAWTATTGTTGTTCTAGTTATAATACCTCTATTACAACTGTGTAGTAGCTGGGGGGGGTGGGGGGGCTTAATTGTCCTGTCATTGCTCTCCACAAGAAAATGCTGCCAAATCTTATCTCTGGGAACTTGTCCCTCGAAACAGAACTGTACTCATCCTCTTGTCCTGGAGCGGATATCTCCCAAAAATCATTTCCCATGTGTTACCTTTAATTCCTCCTCATTAGGCTCTTACGTGGTTTGCAATAGGATATTAAGCCTGTTATCAGAGAGCATAGTAAATAATGAATTCTGATTCTGCTGTCAYGTAGCATTTGCTCAAGTCATCAATATATGGCCAAAATGTTTCAGTGTTCATTTGGGAAAGAGAACAAGAAATACTGGACACTGTTAAAGGTCACTCAACCCCTGATAATTTCTCAATTTTCTGCTTATCTGGCTATGTTACTCGTTTACAGCAAGCCTCGGAACCCAATTTCCCAGAGATAGTACTGATTGCAATCAACAAGCAAGGAGTCTTGCTGATACATCAGAAGACAAAGGTAACAGTTGCTTCTCACAAGTCCATCTAAGGAAGAATTGAATGGACCCTGCTAATTTAGGGACAGTGATAGGACCTTGCCCAGGAATAGTACCAGAGGATAAAGGCTCTGTATTAATTTTCYGTGTTAAACCAAAGAAAATGTTACTGTCTCAAATCACTTCTTTTCAGTTTCTRCATGGGAAAGGAACAGGATAGAGCATCTCTGAAAAAAAAGACATGGGAATCATGATGAACCTGGCAAGGTGGTAAGATCAGGAACATGGATGGGCAGTGCCCCTGGGAACCTGCTTCAGAAAAATGCTTTGCAGGAAGCCCCAGATGCCTAAAAGATCAGGTTGAATGGCCATGTTTAGCTGCTGTCTAACCCCAATAGTCTGGTCTTRCCAAGTTCTCAAGAGAAGGGAGTATCACTATTTGCTTTTAATAACAAACCAATTTAAAAGCAAGTTTGAGATTATTGTAAATCTAATGGCAGTGTGCTAAGGCAAAGATCAATATATAAAGAAAGGAAGTCTCATTAGTGTGAGTAAGATTCAACTGTTTGGTGAAAATATAGCATACCACTAATCTGGATGCAAGAACTGCCTTGACCCAATGTTTTTATAAATGAAGTGGGAGAGAACAAGAATTCTATGGCTCTACAGGTTTTCTTATACAACAGCCTGTTTTCATTTGAGAAATGTTCTATAGTCCAGTTTGTTTCCTCTTACAGGATATTTTAACTGTCTATCCCTTCAATAAAATCTCCAACTGGAGCAGTGGGAGCACATACTTCCACATGACAATAGGAAACCTAGTACGAGGAAACCGGCTCTTATGTGAGACATCTCTGGTAAGAAGAGTTTTGCCAACCTGGACACAAMAAAATCTCAATTTTCCCTTTCCAACCAGGATTGCTACAAAACAATGGTGTGAAAACAGATAAATACCAGTGCAGATACAAAAAGGCATTCACGGCTCTGTCAATAAAATTGCCATTTAGAACTGGTTCAGTGCACATGTAATGCTATGTGATGCAAATATGCAAGACACAGGACACAAGGAAAAATAGTAATTTCCCAAATTCTTCCCATACATCAAAATTCTATCCATCCAAGAAATTAAGACTGCAAAGCTACATTAGAGGTTTTCTGTCTTGCATATCTGCATCCAGGTATGTAGTAATGCCAGCCTTGAAAGACTTCATATTTCCCAGTGAGTGGTACCACCTTTTTAACAATTGGTTTCAAACTATTCACAGTCTCAGAGAAGCATTATTTATTAATATTTAAAGGTAGGTTTCTAAAGACAACAAACACATTGAAAGGCTAACTTCTCTGACAGAAAAGCTTGGATTCTTAAATACAAGAATCTTAAGTACAAGTCAAACTACAGAGTGAATACCAAGGAGACAATAGAGCTATGCTTTGKAAAGTTTTGGAAATTTATGAAAAGCAGAGGGAGGAATGGAAAACTTATAACTAAAACAGCAACAGCGATTGAAAGAGGAGATATTTGTGCAAGGAAAACCTGAGATGATAAACAAGGAAGGAAATTATAGTTTTTTTTTTGTTTCTAGAGATCTCTGAGATCTCTTTTTTTCTTTCCTGACAGGGTTACAAAATGGATGACCTGCTAACATCCTATGTTCGCCTACTCATGAATGCTGTAAACAAGCAAAAGAACCTTCCAGCCTGAGAGTGGAAATAGAGCCCATGACCTGTATTTGTGCCAAGCTACCTGTAATTTCATATCCCAGAAGAAATGCAATTTAAAAAATATTAATCTTGATGATCAATCTTCTGATCACACACCAAATGAACTGAGTTGCTGAAATACTACTATGAAAGAAGCTCAAGTGAGAATGTGCTTTTAAATATCTGTAACACTTATGTCTTAGTTGCAGTATGAGAATTCCATTCAGATTTTGGATTTAGAGAAAGTTTAGCTGGACTTTAACGTTCTGTGGAAGTGGAGAAACTTTGTGAGGGCCCCTTCTAATAGCTTGAATCTCCTCTATTCAAAGACAGACGCACAGTCTTCCTTTAGGAAAGAAAATGCCCCTCATAGTATATGCTCTGCTCTTATCAAATGCACAACTCCAAGAGTGTTTGGAAACAAAGGCAATTTTATTTTTTTCCTATTGGCAATTCTAGTAGTGGAGAGATGCCCTTAGTTGAMATTTGAACACTTTGAAAGGTAAGATCCTGGGTTTCATCCTCTGGTATCCAGATCACATGCTGCACATTACAGKAGACAGCCAACTACTGTCAGAACGTTAACTGTCCTTCCTGTGCACTGCTAAACTTGCAAGCTGTCACCTGACTTACCACAGCCCCCCTAAAATTAAATAATCTTCTTCCTTCCCCATGTTATAATATTCTTGGAAACTAACAACATTTTCTATTATGCAGTTTCTACTAAGTATTGAAATGAGTCTGGGGTTTGGGTCCATCACTTCTAGTTGCTCCTATTTCAAGATATAGACACGCTGTTCAGTGCAAACCAGAATTGAAGAACTCAGTCTAGCAGAGGTCTGTTGAAAAGAGACTTTTCTGCTCTACAAAAACATTCTGTTGGGAGTTATGCAGACATTCCTTCATGAGAAAAGAGTAATAGCTTYAATTTACCCTGATCTTTTCTGTTTTCTGTTTAGCAGACAGTTTGAGTGGTAAAATTTCATTTAGCACTTGTTGCCCTCTCAGAGCTTTGTAGAAACACAGCTTTGGGGCCACAGGATGTGTAAAGCAGATTTGCACTGTGGTGGGAGTAAGCTTAGCTGCTTCCCCCGCAGAACATGTACTACTCCCTCWCTCCCAGTGAAACATGGACATGTCTTAAAGCATCTACACTAAGTTCCTCGAGACACGATCTGGCAATGCTGGAAATGCAGCTCTGCCTGATCTCTCAACTTTGCCAAGGGGTGCACAATGATTCTCTTGTTCCCTCTGACACGTGTGTGCAAAATTCAAATGTTGATGGGAGTTTTGTACATGGGTGGCAGGGAGGAGCCCCACTCTGTGCATCTAAATGAGTGCCACACCAGTGAGAATAGGTGATTCTCTTGCAAGCAGTTAGATGCTCCTGCTGTAATGTCCATTGCTGGCAATGGAAACGTGGGAGTCTAATTACCCAGAATGGTTTTGTCACCCAATGTCTGATCTAACTGGCTGTGAGAAATGTTCAACACTTCACCTGTACAAAAATAAATTTTGCAGCCAAACTGTACTGTTTCTGGTTTTTAAATAAAGACTGCAGAAAATCAACCATGTCTCTTTTATACCAAAGAAAAGTGAACATTTGCTCTAGATCCATGTAACCTAATCTACTAGATATCCACTATACCCTGTTAATGATCATAGCATCCTATCTGCTCATTACATACCTAACAAAATTTGTACAGCRCAGCCTCTAAAAGTATGATACCCCTTTCTGCATATCCTCACCAACCAACACATCACCATAGAAGCAGCACAGGTCCCAAATGTGAATTCACCACACCAGTGCCTCAGGTTTGGGCAATCCCAGAGTTCCTCAGAGTGGGTAATGCTCTCTGGCTAAGCACTGAAAATGTGGTATTAACATTTACACTATAAATATTTTTTTACTTTTTTTATGTAAAGATTTAAAGTGTATTGCAGTTAACTTTAATACAAGAACATACAAAAGTACAGTATTACAGCATTTCAATCCACAATCACATGTTTTGGTCAGACAGATCAAGCAATGTGTGATGAGAGCTCTACGCAGYACAGAACCTGTCAAGGCCTGAACCAAGGCAGGGAGCTGTAAATTCTTTTCTCAGTCTAATACCCTCAGCACTTAACAGTGCTTTACAGACTAGTATAACCACATTTATTACAYGCTTGCCTGCAATCTATTCCTTCCCCATCCAATCACTTCTGAAAGAGTGTCARTCATACCATCTAATACCAACCATGCCACATCAAGAATTCTCTGTTCATAAGGTTGACCATTGTTTGCTARCATTACACAGACTGCTGCAAAAATACCAGTGATGTAAATCCTAGAGATAAGGTTAGTCCCATAAAGAAAGACTGCAAGTGACTACTATACCCTTTGAATACAAGCAAGCTTCACATACTGTGCTTTCTAAAAGCAAAACCATTTTCAAGTGTATTCAGTGAGTGTTAGTGATTTTAATTATGTATACATATCAGTGTAAACTATAAATGTATAGAATTAGACAAAACCTCTTTGTAAGTGAAGATTTTTGAGCCAAGTTCAATCTTGATATAAATCTCTACTCTTTAGTAGTGTGATACTTTGGAAGAATTTGGCCAGCAGGTCTACTTAGAGCAATGGAAAAAAGCATCCAGCTTATTTCTGACTGACACGTTGACAATATTTATTAAAAAGAAAACAAAACCCAACCTGCCAGCCTACCAAGGCACTAAGAGGAACTTGTAAATTTCCACTACATTCTACTTGGTTTTTAAAAGGTAGACAGTCAGAAGCAGAGGAACCATTTATAGTTATTTCTCCTACTCCTTCAATTCCACTCTCACACAAAAGGTATGTTAGTAATATAAACTACTGTAACTCTGTACATTGCAGGYTATAGGCAGCAGAAGTATAAGAAAAATGGGGAAAAATAGTAATTTGAGAGAATATCACCCTCCACTAATATAGAGATCAGGGATTACAATGATTTTTTTCACCAACTAATTTTGTAAAATATCCTGAAGGACATATTCTAAATCCTAGAACAGGCTTATCAAAGAGAAAAATATCAACTGTCCTTTAAACTTTGAAGCTTTCTAGGTCTGCCAAATTTCTAACAAGAGACAAGGTGAGAGCACAAACTGCATATTTGCTGGCAGCACAAAAGTAATTCCATTCACCTTCACATACATGCATTTTCCATTGCTGAACACGAGGGTGGTTGCTGAAAGAATATTACCTATTGTCTGCTAGTTACTTATACCTTCCATRTTTACCAGAAATGTGTGGCTGTGTGTTCCTCCTCCACTTCCAAGGAGGATAGGAATACAAAGCTGCTCAAATTCAGCATTAGACATGGCCTGGGACTGAGAATAGAGGAACAGAGTGGAATGCTTTATGCTGAGAACAATCTGCATAACATACTGAGCTGCACTGTCCTGGTTTTACTCGGTCCGATTTTTGGTGGTGGGGGGATGGGACCAAGAAACTACAAAGATGGCTCCTATGAGGAAGTTCTAAATGGCTCCTGTGAGGAAGTTCTAGATGGCTCCTGTGAGGAAGTTCTARATGGCTCCTGTGAGGAAGTTCTAGAAGCTTTCTCCTTCTTCTCCAGCAAAAGGAGCCCTACCCTCTGTGTTTTAAAACCAATCCATTGTGGCTCTRAGGTTGATGGACACGCTGCTCATCAGGCTTAGGCCAATTGCACAGGCTAGTTACACCTCTGTGATGAYGTATGGTCTTGTACTTAGGAAGAATTCAAAACAAGATAGGGGCGGCCGCCATGTAGTCTTTAGATTGTTAGTATCACGCACTGGGGAAAAACAGAGCAGCAGGGTGAGGAGATGTAAGAAAAAAAATGGAGACCCAAGATCATAGTTAGGAGAAAACAGGTTGCTATGCTGTTGCTGTGGTGCTCGAACATGCAGAAAACAAGCTGTTCTCAAAAGGACTATTTCTTCAATGAGAGACCTGTATAGAAAAGGAGAGCGACCTTGCTCTGAGRARAAAAAMCCCTGGCCTTTGAGGATTGGACTGAACTGATCAGAAGCCAAAAAGGGGGAAGAGGCTTGGCTCCCCCACGACGTTTGAAGCGAGTTGATGCTAAGAAGAAATTGTGTTCTGYGGGGAGGAAGAGGTGCCTCTGCCCCACGTCTGAAGTAAGTGGATGCTAAGAAGCTGTATTCTGCCAGGAGAGTTGTGATAGTGGCCTTATGCCACCGAAACAACGCCGTCTGGCCATGAAGAATATTCTTTCCTTTCTCCCATGAGGTAAAGAAAAGAATCYCTTGCCGTCAGCAGTTATATGCTGTTTCTTGGGAAAAGACCTTCCACAGCTRGGAGCTGTAAGAACGCTTCTCCTATGGTGCTGGACGACAACCATAATGAGTARTTTGATCTATGTTAGACTTTCATTCCTGCCCCTCTTTGTATGCGGGAAGACATGGGGGGGTGGAGAGGGGCGACCTGAGAAAGAGACAGGTCCCCGGAAAGAATAACAGGTTTCTTAAAATGTCCATTTTTATTTTTCTTTTCCTTGTAAATTTTTCCCTATCTTTGTTCCCCTCCCCAGTGCGGTAGTATTATTACTATTACTTAGTTTTTAGTAATAAATCTATTTTGCAACTTAAGTTATTCAGCCTGTCTGACCATTTTCTGGAGCATATACGTATCTTTCTCTCAATTATGTTATGTTATCTAAAAGCCATAAATGTTAGTGTTAATTGGTCCTTTGCTCTCCCTTCTGCCTCTCTGGTGGTGGGGGGAGGAAACGTCATGGGTGCGGTGCTTTTGGCTTTTTGGCYCAGTTCAAACCACAGCATGCACCTAGGTCAAAACTTCATGTGTTTTATACTGTGACAAAATTCCAAACAACAGGTTTGATTGCAAACAGGGATCTTTGAGGGCCACACTACTGCACCAGAAGATATGCTGCTCTTTGTGCTCTTAACTAATTCAAGGCTGATGAGAGAACAGTGAATAGCCACACGTTCTCCTAGAGCAGTGATACAAGCAGCTACTTTTACTGGAACCTAGAGAGCAGATTGGTCAGGAGAAGAGAGTTTACTGTTAAAATTAGGCCTATCCCCTCCTCATTGTTTGAATAGATACACTATAACCCAGTTAAAATATGGTAACTCACAGCAACAAAAAGCAAAAGCTGAGGGAAACTCAGCAACGGCAGTGAAAATTTAGAGGATGGTCTCATGTAGGATTCTGATCTGCACAGTTATCCGGGATTTCCCACCGCTGCTGTAGTACCGCTGATGCAGTTCTATGGGTAGTAGATCCAGCAAGCATGGTAGCACAGTTCTAAGGTAGATTATTGCTCCAATCCAGTTGCTGCTCACATATGCAAGAAGTGGGGAAATTTTAACTTCTTGCTATGTAATTCACCTGGGACTGCAGGCTGTTGTTTAGGCCCAACTGCTGCATTCATTTGCCTGACTAAACTAGCCACTTTTGGTTAGATTTAAATCATGCAAAGGACAGCAGTCCTCCAGTGCTTGTCAGCCATGCAAAAGGGCAGGCAGAGTCTCACAGCTGATAATGGAAAGGGATTTTCAGGCTGCTCATCTTAGTTTAGAAGAAAGTATGGGGGACACCTCTGGAGGACTCCAAAGCTCACTGGGATCATGTATCGTGCAGGTGGGCTCAGGAACAGCACTGATGATGACTTGCCTGTAAAGAAGAATTGAGAATATCCAAAACCAGTAAGTTTCTCAGCACCTTGGGTTGTGGTAGCAGAGACAGTAGGACCAATGAGACTTCACTGGTGACAAGCAAAATTACAGAGCAGCACTATATGCTTGAGATGTTACAGAGTTGTGTCTGAGATCCTCTCCTTAGGTACATTCAGGTCTTAAAAAGAAAGATGAATGGGAATCTCTTATTTTGGTACAAATTTTAAGAAAAATGAGGTTTTTATCTGAATGACACTACCTTGGCTACAAACTGTAAACATTAGAAACTCCTTCATGTAATTGAGCTTTCTGGAGCATGACCAACAAGCATATGCTTGGCTTGCACATAAAGTGAGAATGGGAAAACTGATGTGCATAAATTAGTACCATTAGCTATTCTTTATGCATAATTTCTTTATGCAAAAGAAGAACCAAGGCTCCAGCCACACTGCCTCAATAAATATTAACTATGCAGTGGACAGGACACACTTTGTGTTGACCAGTAGAAGTTCTACCAGCCATGTAGTAGTAGAGAACAGAGAAAATGAGTGTCAGTTCTAATAAAATGTTCAGTTTCCCATAGCCATCTTCTCCTTAAGGAGAGCCCTACTATTCTGAAGAGGCTCACATGGCCTTGATGGCTGAAATCTCCTCAGTACAGAGCAGCAAAGCAGCAAAGGGAACTTCTTAGCTGCCTTAACACTGGGCCTAAGTGGGCAGTGCAGATGCCATAGCTATTGGTTGCTGGGTTTGTCCAGTAAACCTACAAAGCAGAGAGACTATAGGGCACCCATATATTTTCTGTAGGAATCTGAAGAAAGACCAGAACTTTTTGCATGTAGCAAAGAGTGACAACTTTCAGAATATTTGCCTATATATTAAAAAACCTAAAAATTTCTTCAGAGTAAGAAGAAAAATTTTGATACCCTAAAAAAAGAAAAAATCCGACATTCCTTCCAGTCCCACTCTCAAGCACTTTTGCCAAATTCCTTAGACTAAGAGGACTGGAAAGAGAACTACACTTCAATTGAAAAAGGAAAGACGGTGTACAATTTCACAAAGGCAAAAYGCAATATTAGTAGCAAATCAATAATCAGACTGCATACTGCTCAAGCAGAAATCATACTCCTCTTCCTTCCAGTGTTAATAGACAATTGCTTGAGAAAATGGACATTCTAGATGCAAGAGACATCACCAGAAGCAGGTGAAGGTACTACTTATCTTTGGTTTCACTTCTTAGTAATTGCTTCTGTAATCAACTGCTGCAGTGAGCATTAGCTTGTGTTAAGGAGTGCAGTCAGGAGACWAATAGATCTATTTAAGCAGAGTTTAAATCTAATGCTTTAGGATGGGTCTTTTTGGATGCCAGCTCTGACAATTTCTTCAGACGTTTCTTCAGCTCCAGAGGGAATTTCTCATAGCACTTCTTGCACACAGGCTTCATGTCAAACTCCACAAATTTATTCCTTTAACACAAAGATTAGTTATTAAAATCTTATTTGCAAACTACATGCTTCACTAATTCAAATCTTCATGCATCTACATCAGTCTTGTTGTTAGTGTTCTATTGCATTTATAAAACAACTCATTTCCTCCTCAGGTGGCACAAGTACAGAGAGTGGGCTCCTATCCRTGAACTGAGGTTTTCAGTATTGCTAGGTTAAATAAGGAGCAAGATTTTGGTACATATTTGCATGTAACTGTCTAGAATAACTATTTTGTTCTAGTAGAATGCAAGCATCACTTCAGAAGTCCCCTTTGGGATGAATTAAGAGCTCTTTCATATGAGCGGCTGGAGCCAACCCAGCATAGTAGGGTAAGGTTTTGAACCCGATAAAGGAAAAATATAGGATTTTTTTTTTCTGCCCCTCTTCTAGATATTTGAAGTAAATAGCATATTATTTTATTTCAAAATAATCTATGCAATAGCAAATATTGTCATTAAGGGAAGCATCCAGAGTTAAGGAGATATGGAGGCTGCAGGCTACTCAGGACAGGCAATTCCTTAACGTTTAAAGCCTTCTCTCTGTACTGCTGAATGAGCTCCCCTTTTATTAAACCTCCTTACAGAATAGATTAATGAAGGAAAATAAACCAGAGAGGATGCTGTGTCAGTTCCCTTTTAGTGCTGAAATTAGGAGTGCCTGCTCCTAACAGAAAGRCATACTGGCCTTCAGAGAGGCATTGGCTCATAGCTCCCCCAGGCTGTTACTCTGCCTTGGGGGCAAACATATCACATGGTCCAAAATATAAACACTGACTTACTTCAGTGTGAGCTTGATGTTGCAGGTGGAGCAGGAGAAGCAATTCACACACCAGGCCTTGTTAAGAGCTGAAACCACTGCAAAAGTAAAAGCACCAAGTAAGAATAAACTGATGGATTACTTGAATTGAGATTTATATCCAAATTCAAGTGAGGCCMGATGTAAAAACAAACACTGATTTCTTAAAACTGTGGGATTGCAACAGCTGCACTAACAAATGAAACAAGGACAGCAACCCAAAACAAGGAGGGAACAAATCTTACCATCTCCCTCTATCACATGGCTGCAGTTGTAGCAGACATCTCCAAAGAGCTGGACAGAAAAAGAAATAAGAATAGGAACTCATGTTGCTGACTACTCATGGTCCCCAAATTACACAGCTGGTGTGAACATTAAATCCTAATAATCAAAGAATTCCCAGAAACTGCAGTAGTCCTCAAATATACCAATTTAAATCTTCTGAATAACTTCTCATACACTTGCCAAATAGTCTGTGTGCTTTTGGATCTCATACCAGTAAATACTACAAAACCTTTTTTGTTGATGCCTCACACTCTTGTACTGTTATGGAATCTTAAAGTGCTGTATATGTGGAAATTGGAGAAGAAAGAATGGGTAGAGTATCATGCTTACTGTAGACAAACATCTCCTGATGCCTAACCAAACACCAAAATAAAACTACTGCTAAAATAGAGCTACTATCAAAGTAGTAACATTTCTTATGCAGGAGTCATTTATCTGACAGAAGAAAATACCAAACTCATAGTTGATCAGTTGAATTATACCAAAAAAACAGGGTCTGATTGGCTTTTATATGTTTTTTTAATTGATCTACTTTTCTGTGCTTTAGACAACACAACAGTTGCCTCAGGCCCACAAAAGCAAGTAATTACCAAAGAAGCCCACACAAAAACTTTAGAAGTACAATTACATGGATTTTAATCACAACCCAGGGTCAGTGATTTTCTGTAAATGGTACAAATTAAAATCAGTACTCCCAAAATATTTCTATTCTGTTTCCAGCATCACTTTTCYATTTGCCTAGAAAAACTATCCTTTTTCTATTAACTCTGACTAATTTAATAATATTTAATTGCCTCTACAAATTCAGATTATGCAAAATCTGCATAGCTTTGCATATATAAAATATAAAAAAGCATTTGCCAGTCACAACAAGTACCTATAGCACAGATGGCAGAATTTACCTGATTATAATGAGTTTCACAATAGGCCAGCCCTTTTTTTTCATAGTGTCGGTGCCCCAAGAATGGCTTCTCACATTTGGCACAAACAAAATGCTGAAAAAGAAAAAAAAATTCCATGGCAGGCAAAATGACTTTCCTGTCACCAGGGAAAAACATGGCAATAAATCACAGCTCAATGCATTACACTTTTTCACAGAATAGTGTGGGCTGGAAAGGCCTTTAAGCCTCATCTCATTCCARCCTGACCTTATACACTTCCAGGGATGGGGCAGCCACAGATCCTCTGGGCAGCAAGTGCCAGGGCCTCATCACCTTCACAAGGAAAAAAGTTCTTCCTAATATCTAACCTAAATCTACCACTTTCCATTTAAAGCTGTTACCTCCTAATGCTTTAATAAAGCACGGATAGGAAAGATTCTTATGGAAGCAAAAGAAAAGAGGACATATTTAGCCTATTTATAGTAATTAAGAGTTGCATCAAAGATAGGCGGAAAACATGCTGAAAGGRCATTCATCTTGTGTCTATCTTGATAGACTTGTGCACTATTATCTTTCTTGTTTCAGAGAAAAGAAGCAGGAACATAAACGTGGTTGGCATGAATACACYTCAAATGAGCAGCAGCATCTCTCTCTCAGGTCAAGCGCTAGGAGGCATAAATGACTAAAACACAGTTCGCTAAAAATCTTCAGAGCAAGTTGTGATGACTCAGCTAAAAGTTACAGAAATAATGAGCTGAAAAGTCTTAAAAAGCAAGAATTGCATTGACTCAGACTGAAATAAAAATTCCAACACTGTTATGTGCCAGGTAATTGTGCCGGGAATTGGAGACGATATRTCTAAGTACATAAAAGAAAATACATAAATTTATTAGTAAGTAAATGCTGTTCAGTGAACCCTATTCTGCAAGAAAGTTTAAAAATTTTAAAATTAAGTTTATTACAGTCATGAAAGCATAGCTTTCTTAGGAATGCTGATGGCCCTGCTGTACTCATTCACTCARAAAAGGTGAAGACAATCTGAAACATAACATAGCCTTTGTCTGAATTCATATATTACAGACCACCTACATGTCTACAGCATTCAACCAGYTCTTCCCAACCAGCTCTTGAAGGAAGTTTCTTGAAGTTCATTCAGAGAGGCCTCACCTCAACATGCCATTGCTTTCCCAGAGCATTGACCACTCGACCCTCAATGGGCCTGCGGCAGGCTCCACAGATGGGGATCCCCATCTTGTCGTGGCAGGGCAGGCAGTACAGCTCTCCCTTCAGCTCCCGGGCCTCAGCAGTCAGCTCCTTTCTGGGAACACAAACACATCCCCAGAGTAAGAACACCGAGGGAAACTCTTCAATGCATGGAAGGAAGTTTTGGAAGACTAAACTTGAAGGTTAACTTAGGCAACATTCGTTCTACAAATGCAGTCACCAAGTTTAGCTAGTGAAATACAGATATTGTCAACTCAACTTTCTAAAATTGCTTTTTCAGTTTACCAGTCAAGAACATATGTGTAAGATCATGTCTGCGGTTGGATACTCTTGCAGAAAAACGAGGTGCACTTACATGGAACATCGCAGTGTCACACTAAGATTCGAGGTATCTTTGAATGGGAGAGCTCAAGTACAATGATCATCTAGCAGTGTTCAACAGTGAGACATTTGCACTGTTACCCATTCTGGGGCAATACTGTGCTCAATTAAAATGGCTTCATGGTAAGTAATTCAGGTCAGACAGGTATCAGCATGGTCATGGACTGTGCCACAAGAATGACACATCTTATTAAGCCATCTTTTTCTTTCTATCCAGGAATTCAAAGTGAAACTGTTTTGGACAGCCTAGTAACTGCTATCTTTGGAAAACTCCACTACAGTAATCTGCAAACAGCYGTTCAGATAAATTCATACCAAAAACCATTTTCATTACAAAGTACACTATCCAATGTTAGAATAAGAGAACTTTGACTGGCAAAATAGAACTAAAATTCTGGTAGTTTTTCCAAATTTCTTTCAGTTTCTCCTCACACAATTTCTATTTGCTCAACAATGTGAAGGCAATTAAGGTTAGACCTTGGGAAGGACTGCACTGCTGACTGAACTGTTTGTCTCTCTCCTTCTCTCCTTTTTTTTGTCACAGATTACAGTATGAGAACATACCCACAGTGGGTGCAGTTGAAGTGATCGGGATGGTAGGAATCATTCCTAAACATCAGAGGCTGCTCATCAATTATCAAATGGCACTTCTGACAGATGTACTTGCCCAGTCCCTTAGCTTTTTCACGGTTATGACATGGCCTGCATAGATGCCTGGTTGAACAAAGGAAAGGGAAAAAAATATTAAAAAGCTCTTTCTCCTAAAACAATATATACTTCATACTGTAGGAAGAACTTTATGTAACAGAACTGTCTTCTGAGGTCAGAAAAAYGTAATTCTGTTGAGTATCCAGTATTTCACACCAGTTGCACAGAGAAGAATATGAGTATAAAGCAGTCACAGAGTTGTATTTCCTTAGAATACTCCTCCAACAGACCCTGATTTATATGCCATCAAGAATRTCACCCAGTCATTCTTCTAGGGATCCTTTCCAACCCTCTAGATCTTTTCTGACAGCTGGGCAAGGAAAGGTGGCAACACCCTCTCTATTGCTAATGGATCCAACCATAACAGAGGCGTTAAAGCACTTGGGAGGGAGTCAAGGAGAAAGAATAAAAYGTACCAAACCAAAGTACATTGCTTGAATGCCTTTTACCATGGCTGGATTCATTAGTCTTCAATRTTTAGGATAAACAAAAGACCATTGAGTATCAGCTCTTCTGCCCACAAATTCCTTTTAGCTATAMGTTAAAGAAAATTAAGAACTATGCAACTTTAWGTGGTAAAAGCAGCTGTGTTCCTASCACATGKTCTTGAACATATTATAAGTACACTTATAACAGGCAGATAACCCAAAGTTCTGATAAAAAAACTCAAGCAAAGGCATAAAAAATTTGTGAAGGCCAATGGAAGCCACCAGTTTTATCTCAATCTTTAGGAGCTCTGAGGAGAAGCTGTTCAGTTTACTTGCCTATTACCTATCCCTCTTGCTGCAAATGCTGTGGGCTGGGAAGAATTTATGATAAAAGACAAATGACAGAGGAATGTCTTCTTTGGGTTGTTTTGTCCCAAAACCAAMAAGTCTGCTTAATTCCTTTCACTGTACCACTATGTCAAAACATTCACTGGGATTTATAGATCATTCTCAAAACACATCAGACAAAAGAAAAATTTGTCCGATTTATGGATGAAGTAGTGGGTTCTTCACAGGGCCCCTTTCAAAATTCTGCCTTGATGAATCACTTACCCTTAGATAAGTGAAATGGGGATAAGAATACAACATAGATGTTATTTTGAGGCCTCAAACATTTATGACTCAGCTGGCAGGCACGTAACTGCTAAGTATCATTATTATTTTCTCCAAATCTKAGCCCTCCTGTCAGCAAGTGTCTCTGTCCAGGGCTGGAAGTACTGTCCGCCCAGACSGAGTCCAGAAAAAGCAGACAGCACCCCATTATAAGGAAACATGCAGCTGTGTTATCTCAGCATAAAGGCATCAATTTTATTCAGCACTGTCAAATGCAGAGTAATTATACAGGGCTGGACATGGGGACCCTGAAACAAGCCTCCTGAAAGAGACCCCTCTCATTCAGCTGAATGAGATGCCTTCAGCCATTTGCACTGATGAACCATCATCAACTCCCTCCCCACTCACAAACCCTCTGCCCTCCCACAGACCTTCTCTATTGGAAGCAAAGGGAAGTGTTGGACAGACTAAGCTGTTACCATAGCAGCCCTCCCTCTCCCYCACCCTCTCCTCCTCCCCACTCCCACCATTATGGAATTATCTCATTCTGAAATGTCCTGTTGTGTCAGGATACTAGATTTCCCCCAAACAATGCATCTCTCCACCCTTCTAAAATAATCAGAGGACTCCAAGGATTTTGTGTTTAGGGCTGGGAGTTCAGTAGCAGCCATGAACACTGGAATATTCATGCAGGATACTCATATCTATACCAGCAGAAGCAGTGCCAAGAGCTCAGCTGGGATGAAGACTGCTCCTTTGTGCTGGGGTGTCCTCTCCCCTGCTCTGTTGTGTGACTGAGCTGATAATGCACTATCAATGTGAGTAGGACACTATATAGAGGGGGTCCCCTCTCTGCCCTTAGCAACTCTGCAACAGTGCACTCTCCTGGGATCATCTTGTTTTCTCTGCTCTACTTCAATCTGGTTTGCTGCCATCAGAAGGAGTTCCTTGAGATTCCCCCAAAAGACCATATACTCTACCCACTGGACTTTACAGCATTGTGAAGAGGTAAGAGACAAACTTTTGTTAGTAGGGGCTTTAGGATCTTTCTTTTTTAAGGAGCTTTCCTAAGGGCATTATTTTTAGTTGGTGCCAATGAGGAGCAGAAAACACACCGAGGTGGATGAATATAATGGAAATGTTTCAATCTAAGAATAGGCAGTACTTTTTGAAGTTCAAATAATTTCCTCACCTTTCTTTACAACACTCCTTCAAAACAAAGAAGTTTACAAATTTTTGTACCTAATGTATATCCATTTGTGCCAGTTGTATATGTCCAGTGCTCTCGGACACTGCTTTGATGGTCACAAAAACCAAGTACTTCAGCTAAAATACAGGCTCAGTAGAGAGTGATTTTTCAGGAGAATAACTTCAGCCAGAAGCAGACTATTTCTAATGAAGAGTACTTTGAGTGAAAGACAGGAGACACTAATTTGACAAGACACTAAATGCATAATTATAAAAATGCACAAACCAGTATAATCATACCAGAAACTGCTCCAGCTGAGTGCAAGAACAGGAATTTCTGATATCCACCAYAAACCTAACATATAGGTCAACTTTATCTGCAGTGGACAAACAAAAGCTCCAAACTAGCCAGGTAACAGAGTACAAGGGGCTAAAGATTTCTCCTGTGAATAGCTCTTGCATTAATGACAGAGCATCTCCTGAAAGAATGATTGCGTTATGTCCATACTGACAGCCTTATGGATTGTTCTCTTGTTTGTTTCTGAGCAGAAGAGAAACAGGGCATGAAATATGGTCAGTGTGCATGCATTTCAAATGAGCAGCGACATCCCCATTACAGCTCACCCCTGGAAGGTCTGGAATAATGGCTCATTCCAGAATAGTGCTCTCTTTAACAATATGTAAATCACTAAATATTCACACAACACTAAGGGTGCAGTCCAAGCAGAAATTATTGGATAATGAGCCAGACTCCTAAAGGAGTTTTCTCTCTGTGGAGTGAAAGCCTCTTGCACCATATAGCTTAACACAAACTACACATTCTAGGTCATTTGGRAAGGTTTCTACTTTGCTCTTAGTGTTTATACAAACTATACAAATCCCAGTGCTTCATCTGTAAGCATAAAAAAAACCCCCAGAAATACATTTATTTTCAATTTATAGGATAAACTCAAGGAGAATAGGAGTGGAATTGCAAATAACCACAAAGGGTTTTCAACGCATTCCAGAGAACACACTGTCAGAAGAGTTATTACTTTTCTAAAGCTACAGCATTTTGTTGAAAACATATAAATTCTAAAAATAAGCCCARCAATTATTTCTAGTGACATGTTGGTTTTTTTGTTTCCAAACCTATTCAAGTACTACAACACAATTTTCACCCAATAAGTAGAATTACAAAAAAAACCATTAAAGGTGTAATTAAAATTTTCTTCTAACTTAAAACATAAGCAAAATTAGAAAGAGGATCACTTCCCTTTTCTATGAACTTCTAACCAGACAAYGAAAAATATCACCCTTCACATTGCTCTATAAAGTAAATTAGACAACAGCAGCCCTCCTGCAAAGGCTGTCATTTGCAAAGACCAAATCTATTTCAATTTTATCTTCAGTTCTAAGCCTCTCTCTTCCTCACACTGACATACTGGGCTTCCAGATAGGTCTGGCATTCTTCTTTCTACTCCAACCCACAGCATTTTGCACTGAAAGCATGTCTGGATAAAAATCCACAGCAGACTCAATGCTGTCATAGGGAGGATAAGACTTCTCAAGTTTGAAGTCTTGCCTATTCTAAATTTGGATTCAGCTGAATCTCAATTTCCAAGATCCTCTTTAGGAAATCAGCCCAAATAGAACTGGTTCAATGCATCATGCTGCTGAACCCCTAATAATTAGCTTGTAAACAGGGAAAAGTCTGCTTAGTCCTTMACTTTAGGAACTAATACAAAGCATTATCAGTAAGACAAGAGCCATCCCAGTCTGTTCCATCAGACAAACCTGGTTTCTGCCTTTTCAGCTCCTCCAAGCCTGTGTTTAGTGCTTGCTCAGGTGTCATAACCATGGATAGAGCAACATTTAGCCATCAGACCACCGTCTCCAACAGAGGTGTATAAAATGATCATCTGATTAACACATTTTGCAGATGAAAAGTGTAAATAWGCAATGGGCCTGATTAAAAAAAAAAGGCTTAATAGCTAGAACATGAGGTGATAAGCACCATCATAAATTAACAGCCAGTAAAAAGGCATGGTCTCATGTTTCTCTTTTGCAACAGAAAAATACATATTTAAACTAATTCCATCCAGGGAGGACAAACAGGTGAGTCAATGTTACTCTCCCATACAAACTTTAAACTCTTGGATTCAAGAATACTTGCAGATTTTACTTTTTAAGGGACAAATGAATATGATAGTGTCCTGGTTTTGCTCGGTCTGGTTTTTTAGTGGTGGGGGTATGGGACCAAGAAATCACAAAGATGGCTCCTGTGAGGAAGTTCTAGAAGCTTCCTCCTYCTTCTCCAGCAAAAGGAGCCCTACCCCCTTTGTTTTAAAACCAGTCCATCGTGGCTCTGAGGTTGATGGACAGGCTGCTRGTCAGGCCTGGGCCAAYTGCACATGCTAGTTACACCTCTGTGATGATGTATGGTCTTGTACTTAAGAAGAATTCAAAACAAGATAGTTTGCGGCCGCCATTTAGTTTTTAGGTTGTTAGTATCATGCACCAGGGGAGGACAGAGGAAGAGTATGAGGAGATGTAAGAAAGAATAGAGACCCAAGATCATAGTAAGAAGACAGGTGCTGTTGCTTTATTTTGCTGTGGTGCTCGACRTGGACAAAACAAGCTGTTCTCAAAAGGACTATTTCTTCAACGGGAGACCYGTATAGAAAATAGAGGCCCTGCATCTTAGAGAGACCAATCTGATTTTTATTTATGCCTCAACATGTGTTATGTGCTGGAAGCTCTGTCCCTCAGGAGGTTTTGCCTGGCAGCCAGTCATGGSACAGACAGCTTCCCCTGCTGCTCTGCAAGCGCCCTGCCCCCCTTGCTGGTGGGGCAGATGCCCAGATGCCCTGGAAAACAGCACGCGGAAAAAAACCGCGCAGGAAATCACGCTATGGGAGGGCGAGGCWTATAAAAGCAGTAACTGCGACACAACCGGGGCCATTTTCCTTTGGGGTTCTTGGAGGGAGCAGGGGCCCGCCTCGAGGGTCACCTTGGCTGTCCTCCCCCCCAGCTTCCCTTTTGTTTCCTTTAGTTTCTGTGGTCCTGCCTTCCCTGTACACACCTATCCTGTCCATGTGCTCTGTTTTGTCGCTTCCCCGAGGCAGCTCGACACTGCGACAACCTCGTGTTTGCTCTTCCCGACGGAGCTACCACCTGCAGCAGCCGCTGTCGTGGGTCCCGCAGCAGCCTGCAGTAGCCAGCCCACCCACAGCCGTGTGTCCGGCAGTGCCCACAGCCCCAGCCTGCCCACAGCAGCTGCAGCTATCTCACGAGTGTGCCCGTAGCCACGGTCCCGTGTTCTCTGCTGATGGGAGGGACACGCAGCCACTGCTGTYTAGAAATTGTGCCCAGCCCATCTCAGGAGCTGCACAGGCTCCTCGCGGTTTGCAGYACACACGCTCCTTTTGCCAAGCTAATGTCGACGGGGTGCCCGGGKTACAGSGSTAACAATCTGTCTGCTATTCTCTCTCTYTCCRTTTCTCTTTTTCCCTCTTTGTTCCCTTTTTTATCCTCCCTTGGTAGGAAGTGGCAGGAACACTTACTCTTCTTTATCAACAAACATTTCTCAGATATAATATTGCTGTGTTTGCACTTTAGTTTTTGTCCAAGAAATCTATTAAAATAATCCTCCCCGACTCCCACTTTTCAAGCGGGATGGGACAGCATCCAAGATTAAAAAAAAAAAAAAACCTGGCCTTTGAGGACTGGACTGATCACAAGCCAAAAAGGGGAAAAGGCTTGACTCCCCCCCAATCTGAAGCAAGTGGATGCTAAGAAGAAACTGTGTTCTGCCAGGAGATTTGAGAGAGTAGCCTTGGAGGTCTGTTTTCCTTTCTCCCACGAGGTAAAGAAAAAGAATCCCATGCCACCAGCAGTTATACACTGACTGTTTCTTGGGAAAAGAACTTCCACAGCTTGGAGCTGTAAGGACTCTTCTCCTATGATGCTGGACGATAACCATAAYGAGTAGTTTGATCTATGTTAAAACTTTCATCCCTGCCYMCCTTGYGSSTGGGAAGGCATGGAGGGGTGGGGAGGGACGACCTGAGAGAGACAGGTTCCCAGAAAGAATAACAGGTGCCTTAAAATTTCCTTTTTTATTTCCTTCTTGTAAATTTTTCCCTATCTCTGTTCCCCTCCCTGGTGTAGTAGTAGTCTTAGTAGTTTTTAGTAATAAATCTATTTTGCAACTKAAGTTATTCAGCCTGTCTGACCATTTTYKGGAGCATATACATACCTTTCAATTATCCTATGTTATCTAAAAGCCATAAATGTTACTGTTAATTGGGCTTTTGTTCTCCCTTCWGCCTCTCCAGTGGCAGGGTGGGGAGGGAACATCGTGGGTGCTTTTTGGCTTTCAGTCAAGTTCAATCCACACCAGACAGACAAAAAATTTTGGCCTCCTCTGTAAAACTTGTGACCTTCACACAAAAAAACTGCAGCAGGGCATTTTCCTTTTGTATGTGAAAGCACAATTTCACAAGTATTTTTATACATAAGGACAAAAGGGGTCTACAGTCTTCCTTGCACATGCAATTGCAAATAACWGCAAGGTAACAACTTGTTATAAATACTCAAATCCACAAGGGTATCCAGGCAATGCATGAAGTAAGAAGGACCCTTTGTGGCCATTGTAAGAAATTCCAATTTCTGAATTTCATCCMGTCTCCCTGCTGTTGACTTTGGCTCTTCAGCTGTGAACTAAACAGAAGAAATGCAGCACATTAATCTCCAGCTATTCCAATTTTCTGTCCACCTGAAAGTAACAGCAGCCAAACTGAAGATATTAATTACCTTGGAATTTTCTTACATTTYCCAGTATACTTGTTTGTCCTTAATCCCATTTCAGTTTCTCTATGATCCAAATATTTTTAGACATCTGAACAATGATTTCTGTTGGGGAGGTGGATGCAGTGCAAAATGRATGTATTTAAAGATGTACTGAATATTATGGAGAAATCATCAGTCAGTACAAAACGCAATGTTGAGCAYAATGGAGGTGCTGCTGCACTTACTATAACATTTCTAAGGAATCCAAGAAATAAAAACAATGCCAGAATTTCAGACTGCTTGCATTTCCCTACTACCTATATCCACAGACAAGCAACATATAAAAAGCCATGGGTAGGCTTTTATAGAAAATCCTATTGCATGCCTTGTTGATGCTGTTCAGGACATTACAAACAGCGACTGGCAAAGCTAAGATTAGTTTTACTACGCTACTGCTTGGAAAAGGCCTTGGATAAGCTACAGTGGAGCTTGGACTTTTGAGGGAGGAAAAGAGAGAGCTGTGCTGGAAGGTAAAAGCTGCAGGGAAGGGTGACACTTTGACAGGTGACTCACAGCATGGACATTACTTAAAATCTTCCCTGAGTCAATTYGGTGTCAAATGAGATATTGCTACCCAACATCTGAAAAGTTTCCTTCTATATTGGAACTAGGTGTATTTGCCTTAAACACAGGACTTAGGACTAAAATAAACCTCAAAGGTTTTCAGAAACCCTGTGGATTTTTTTAATAACACRTGGCCTGTCTTCTATCTCTTCTAAGAACATGACATATTCTAAGTTAGGTCACCTTACAACAGATACCTGAGCTCAGAAAAGCTGACTCATTAGGAACTCCTCAGCCCTGAATCAGGCTTTAAAATTAAAATATGGCAAATACTTTCTAGTTAGACATACAGAACTCACTCCTACTCCTCTTAACCAGACGCACAAGCATCTGGTTATGCCTGATCTTGGCACAGGCTGGAGTAAAGCTCATCACCAGCTAGCCAGCTCTTCATGGGAGTTCCTTCCACATGAATTAATGCTCTGGTAAACACAGCTGAGAAGAGGGTATTCAGAATTTTAACACATGGTTTCAATTCAGACTGACCTGTCATATTAAACACTGAGGCTAGCAAACAGGAGACAMTGCTGACTTTCATGTGTGTTTTTTGGGTCTTTTGTTGGGGTTTTTTGTTTGTTTACCACAGATCAAGGCACTTTTGTAATACACTGTCTCAATTCTCTCACATTTAGGGCTTCTTTTTCCTTCATAACTGTGGGGAAAAATGAATGGACCAGCAGATTCAAGGTTGCTCTTCAATTACTCAAATCAATCAAATTTTGCTTTGGAAACATCAGAGCAATGTGGCAAGGAGACATACCTTGAGAACATCCTTTTTGCCACTTTCTACTTTCTGGACTTCATCCTGGCTTTTGCTGGCAATGCCCTGGCTCTTTGGCTTTTCATCCGGGACCAAAAGTCAGGCACACCTGCCAACATTTTCCTGATGCATCTTGCTGTGGCTGACTTGTCCTTTGTGCTGGTACTTCCCACTCGGCTGGTGTACCATTTTTCTGGTAACCATTGGCCTTTTGGTGAGATCCCATGCAGACTCACTGGCTTCCTTTTTTACCTCAACATGTATGCCAGTATCTACTTTCTGATGTGCATTAGTGTTGACCGTTTCCTGGCCATTGTGCACCCTGTGAAGTCCATCAAGCTCCGCAGGTCCCGGTATGCCCACGTGGCATGTGCCTTTCTGTGGCTCGTTGTTGGGGTGGCAATGGCACCTCTGCTGCTCAGTGTGCAGACAGTCCAGGTGAAAAACACAACTGTCTGCCTGCAGCTCTACAGGGAAAAAGCATCACGTCATGCCCTCATGTCCTTAGCAGTGGCATTCACCTTCCCCTTTGTTACTACAGTGACTTGCTACTTACTCATCATCTGGAGCCTGAAGAGTGGGAACAGAGTTGAGAAACACCTGAAGGAAAAAGCTGTCAGAATGATCATCATGGTCCTGATGATCTTTCTGATTTGCTTTGTACCTTATCATGTCAATCGCTACATTTATATTCTCCATTACAATGGGAGCAAAGCTTCCTGTGAAAGACAGCGTCTCCTGGCCCTCAGCAATCGTATCACTTCCTGCCTCACCAGCCTCAATGGGGCATTTGACCCTGTCATGTATTTTTTTGTTGCTGAGAAATTCCGTGAAGCTTTGTGCAATCTCTTTTGTATTAAAAAGACCATAATGTTACCTCAAACATATGAGGGTAAGACAAATGAAAGCTCACTAAGTGCTAAATCTGAACTGTGAACATGACTCTTGACAGTGCTTTTCCTAAGAACACCATCTTCCACCAAAAACAGCTGAGAGCACAAATACACAGCAAGACTGTCCACCCAGAGTGAAACCCATCCTGAGAAGGGAAGTTCTGTTGGTTTTATGCAACTGCCATTAACAAGGACCCCTCTGACTACAAAGAACATGTGTGCTTGTCTTGCTGAAACTGCAAACAGAAGGACAGTTCTACTGATTTCCAAGATGTGAAACTGAGGGCTGAGCACTTAGGAATAGAGAAGGGGGCAAAAAGGAAATGGACCTATATATTTCTTTGTTTTCTTTAAGAACCTAATTCCCAAAGCACTCAATGCTCCTTTCTGCACAATGCACACAGCCTTATTTAAAATTTCACATTATGCCAGCAGCAGAGATCCACTCCCAAGACAGACCTGCCTGAAAAATCCCACATTTGCACATCTTTTTCAAATCCCTGCATTCAAAGCGTTTAGATGTAGTAGAGAGAAAAGAGGTACTAAATAGTGACAAGAAACAAAAAAAGACCCGAATGATGTAGTGAACCCAGTCTGGACTGGAATTAAGACAAGAAAAGATTCCTAGTTTAAAGATGGTTTACAATTCCTTTTCATGACTTATCTAGCAAGCCTATTCCTTCACTATGGATAAAGTTGGGATTATCTTTATTCTCACTGATACAAATTGCATCCAGCAAAATATCCCTGGAAGTGACAGGCAGGCTAGGGCAGACCAGGCACAATGAAAAGTGAAAAGAAGAATGCAAGAGTTTCCAAAAATATTTCCTAGAAGACTGCTTCAATGCTATGGAGACAAATACTATAGGAAACCATGTGAGAGGTGAAATACATTCCTATGTAGAAACACACCCCTATCTCTCTGCTATGCTTTTGGGAATGAGTTCCTTATCATTTTAGATTTGGTCCACAGATTACAAAATCAAACATACTTTATCTTGCCTGAACTGCTTTTATCTTGACTGCTTTTCCAAAACACTTTAAGTGCTATTCCAACAGCCCATTCTAGCAAGTTCAGGTGCCAGAAGAAAATCAATTATGCCCAGCTCAAAAAACTAAGGTACGGTGTTTGATGCAGGATGAAAAAGGAGAGAGAATTGAGAGGACTCCCTGCTGGACAGGCTCAAGTATATTTTCTTCCTCCCTTTGCTATTTAGAGAAAATACAAACTCTACGAAACTACTAGGCTATGCTCATAACATATGAAAGCCTAAAATTAACACTGAATTGTGCAACACTGTCTGCTAACTGCTGGATTGTTTTAATTTCTTATAATAGTATGCTTTTGTATAAGCTCCCGTTTGTGTTTTTATTTCTTATTTCTGAATTAAATGCATTATTCAACCTCTAGGATTCATTTTTATATTTCTGTATTAAAAATGAATGATTTCTGAAGACCAGTGGAATCACATGCTGAAAAGACTTTGCTGTAATCTTTGTGCTATCCTTTTGCCCTTTTGCTACATCTTGATTTCCTGCTCAGCAATTTACTTGATAAATAGCCTGCCTGAGATGGCATAATCCCTTTTTCTCACTTATGCAGCCTTTAGTTTGAAATACCTGAAATCTCTGCCTTCTGCCTGAAATGCCTATCTCTTCAAGAACCCATCCACTAGCCACTAAAATCTGAGTTTCTGCATGTTTCATTGGGTGAAGAATTTCTCACCTAACACGTAATTGCTTAAAGCTTCTTCTATGCCTTTTCAAGCTTTCTTTCTCAGTGTATAACTAACTGTCCATACTCAGTATCTCACTACTATATCAATAACTTTCCAACCTCCTGCTCCATCTTACCTTCCAGCATTCTTCACAAAACCCAAATCAGCAAGGGTTACATTACAGAGTTCACAGCGGAAACATTCTGGGTGCCAATTGTTGTTCATTGCCTTGATTACACGCCCAATAATGAACTCACCTGCAAAAAAGGAAAGCATGAGATGGATGCAGTTATCAAAATCTACTGTCCTTCATAGTCCTTCCACTTTATTCCACATGTACTATTACAGTCTAACTTTGAAAAAAAAAAAATTATTCCCGCAACCAGGATAACCCCAAACCACTGCTGGAATCATGCTTTGTGCCCAGCCAGAACTCCTGGCTCCTTTAAATGACCCCAACAATCCTAGCCCAGGGCTGGATGTTACAGCAAGGCTGAAAGGTTTGCACAGCCCTGTCGTTGTTACCCCCCGGTGTTAGTTTCTGCCACATCTTACCACACTCCCCGCAGCAAGGAGCAAACAGCATCTGGAAATCATGCTCACAGTACTTCCTACCTTCAAACTGCAAACAAAACAAGAGAGAAGGAACTGAATAATTGAACTGAACTACTTAGGGCTAAGAAATAAAACATGCAAGAAAGATGACAATTCATATTTCTGTCAGAATCTTCATTTAATTCCTTACATTTTACCAGAGCTCTTTCTCTTCCACCCAGTCTGAGAACGCACCTCATAAAAGAGTCCCTCTGGGAACTGTCGAAAGCACTGAGCACACACAAAGCAGTTCTCATGATAGAGTTCCCCATTGCTGTTCACAATCCTCTCTGTGGGATCGAACCGCGTCTGGCAGCGCTCACACACCGCATTTGCCAGAGCATCAGACATATTACTGGAATAAAGACAAGAGTAAGAACATTTATGAACACCACATTCCCGCTGCTTTAAACACCCTTTTATGTGAAAAAAAAAGGTAAATCAATGAGTCAAGGAGTCACTGATATCCGTTACAAATAAGGTTCTGACAACTCATACGTGGCAAATGAGGTCACATAGCAGACTCACCTATTGCACACTTTCGGCTACTTGTATTGGTTTTGCTTGGCCCAGGTTGTTGTTTTTTTTTTTTTTTATTGGGGGGCGGGGGGCACAAAGATGGTTCCTGTGAAAAGTTTCTGGAAGCCTTCACCATGTCCAGCAGAGCCAGTCTCTAATGGCTCTGAAGATAATGGACATGCTGCTGGCCAAGACTGGGCCAATTGGAGATGTTGGTTACGCCTCTGTGATAGCATATTTAAGAAGAAATCACAACAGATTGTGCACATAGCTGCTTCTAGCCAGAGAAAGAGGAGGAAGTGGAGAGATTTGAGGGATGCAGACACCCAAGGTAAGTGGAGAAGGAAGGCGAGGAGCTGCTCCAGGCACGGGATTCCTTTTCAAGACGTGGTGATGACCATGGTGGAGCAGGCTGTCCCCCTGCAGCCCATGCAGTCCATGGGGGGTACTGAGATCCACCTGCAGCCCGTGGGGGAGGTGCCCCACACTGGAGCAGGCGGATGCCTGGAGGGGGCCATGCTCCAGTGGAAGACCCATGGAGGGAGAGGTCTTGCTTCCAATATGGAATAGCCTGGCCTTGGAGGACTGCTCACAGTCCATGGGGGAGATCCCCACGCCTGAGCAGACGGATGCCGGGAGGAGGTTGTGTTGCAGTGGGAGACCCATGGTGAGAGAGACTTTGCTTCCAAGATGGAACAGCCTGGTCTTGAAGGACTGCACCCCGTGAACGAGGGACCCCACACCATCAGCAGTTTTGAGACAACTGTCTGCTCATGGAAGGGACCCCACAGGGGAAGCACTCCTCTCCCTAAGCAGCGGAATAGATCCTGGTGATGAACTAACCAAAATGCTAACCCTGTCCCCCTCTGCACTGTCAGCAAGGAGGGACAGGGTGGGGGGAAGAATGGTGTCCTTAGGGTTTATTTTACTCTTCATTATCCTCATCTGACTCTGTTGGTAATAAATTCATTTTTCAACTTAAGTTGAGCCTGTTTTGTCCTGGGCGCATTTTTCTCCCAGTTCCTTTATCTCAACTCATGAATCCTTGCATTAATTATCAGRTTTTTTTTCCCCTCTTCTGCCCAGCTGTAGTAGGGGAGATCAACCAGATGTGGGTGCCTGGCATTTGGCCAGTATCCAAACCATGACACTACTTCACAAATATTTMAACCCATTACATCATCCTGCTACTAGCTCATAGCAAAGACCCACAATTTTTCATAAATCAGCAGTTTGGAGAGCAGCAAGCCCAATGGTCCAGACTTCTTGGGCCTTCTGGTCTCAGGATGTGCATGTTTGTGGATTTTCTGATGTGTAATAAGCACTGATATCCCACTGCACTCTCCACTGTCAGAAGTAATGGCATTTCCCCCTCTACTCTCCCCTGTCCTGACAAATTAGTTGAAACTGTCAAAGTGTTACAAAGCTATGGGCAGCTATTGGCTGGCTTGGCCAATACCTCAGCTTCATTCCCTCAGAAAGTGAGGCTAAAACCCCTAAGCCACAGTTATGAACCATATAAAGTAGATTTCCTCTATTTACCCTAAAATCACTGTAACCTCTTCCACAAAATTTTCATGGTTGCCACCATGCTAATATAGGTTAATACAGTTTTAAAATCACATATCACATGTGCAAACCGGGAGGGAAAAATTATAAGGCACGTCTCAATTTCTTGTTGCACTGTGATCTTTCTTTTAACCATCAGCCTATCCAACAGTGTAAAACCTCGATATTATTACATTTTTAGATATAGAAAAAAAATTTTATGCCTTCTGGCCACCCTTTGAATTCTATGATCGGAAAGATTGCAGTTTCATAGGTGGAAGTATAAAAAATTGCCAGCAYGTCAAAAAACCCTCAAAACTATTTGAATAGTACTTTTCCTGAGGCATGTATGTATAAAATGCAAGCTAGAAAAAACCCCTGCAAATGAAGCTAGCTTTTCAGACTCAAAGTTACCTGAATTTCCATTGTTAGTGTTATTCTACAACCCATCATGCTACTTTCCCCATCTCTTCATGAAGAACAGTAATTCGACAAGCTTTTTCAGGAGCAGAAGATTCTCTTTCCTTTGGTCAGACATTCCCCTCAAAAACAGGCCAATGTCTGTATTCCAGGGCTTTGTGCCTTGAGCAAGCTGGAATGAGCAGGGAGCAGCCTCACATTCCTGAGGTAACACAACCAGCCCTGCATTCCAGCTAGCTCAGCTGAGCAAGTGTCTCCCTCTGCAGCCTGCACTAATATCCTAGGCTGTGACCTGGAGTGACCCCTCAGTAAAAACAGACTTTCTTTCTCCTGCTGCAATTCCAAATGAGGCAAAAACCAAGCGAGACCATAATTGTCTCTCTTATATGGTGTATGGTGTATCAATTTAGCAAATATTAATTACAATTTGTTTCCTTATGGCAGTGAGGAGATGTAAAAAAACAGATATGGACTCAAATTATGGACAAGAGGAAATCCTGTAATTTYATAAACTAGAGATCACAGGTTAAAGAAACATTTTTTGCCCTGACATAGTACCAAGGAAATAGATCAATACAAAAAATATTTGCAGCAAAACCGACATCTAATTGGCTTGGTTTTCTTCCAGCTACACCACGCAAATGTGTACCAGGACTTGAAAATATAATCTTCCCATCAAGCTCTTTTTCCCTCTTGAAAAATTCAGTTCCTAAATTCCAAGAATTGAGCTAGCCAACAGCCAAAATTAAGAAAGATCGATGCCATCATAGTGAAAAATCTCCTCTGGGAAAAAAAAAAAACAGGCAAACCAGCAAGTATTACACGCTAGACACTAACAACAAAGCACCATTTGATATTGCGCTTGTAGGATATTTTTCTTTATAAACATTAAATCAACATTTTAAAAAATCGTAATTTTCTTTCCACCAGTGCCAATGCCAACATGCAGAGTTAACTCTGCTAGACAAGACTGGCCACCTCCACAATGGTATTTTGCAACAACYAAACCCTGCAATCTGCACAGTCACGTTCCTGCATGAAACACAGTGCAGCCATGACACGTCACACCAGACATCATGGAATACTCTTGTCCCAGAAGAGACTCCCAAACAAGTCCCATGGCTGTCTCAGCAAAAAAGATAATGATGACACAGGGACTCCCTCGTGACGGTGCTGCTGATGCTGACAAGATTTCCTCAAAGGTGTAAGAAACATGATCAGGATACAGTCTGAGCTGTCCATGCAAATGAGCTAATGAGTGTGACTCATTACTCAAATGAGAGAAGCTATTAGTCCAGGAAAATATAAACAAAAGAACCAGTACAAAAAAATAAAACAGTTCTCTGCCTCAGCTAAAACCCAGCTGAAATGTTTGGGAAGAGCGAGACTTGCAAGAGTCAACCAAACCACATGAACTCCTGACCAATGTATCTCCTGTAAGGCAAACCAGGAGCTGAAGCTCTGATAATACACAGCAAGGATTCTGCATCCCTGCTCTTTTTCCATTTATAACTCTGCATCCATTTTCACCTAAGACATTTTTTTGTTTTGTATTCAAGCTACAATTTGCCACTTCAGCATTGCCCTAAAGATATGACCTTGCATTTATTCTAACGTTTTTACTTTAACATTTGCCAACTTCTTAATTTCACCTGAGTGCACACCCCTGTGTGCCTTCTTGCTTATACAAAACCAAGCATTTTTTCAACTAGCTCAAGGTTGAAATTAACCAAAGCTGGAAGGAAGAGGGAGCASAATACTAATTCAGAGCAGTTTTATGATTCAGTTTGCTACGCTGCTGCAAAAGTACTTCTGCCAGGTTCATGGGGAGAGGAAGGGTAACACCACAACCATACTTTCGAYGATGTTACCAGGAGTGAACACAAAGATTTGACTTGCTGTGCAACTCATCAGATAYTTACATGTAAATCTCTCCCACAAAGAACAGTCCCCAACACAGAGCACTTCTTCTATTCTGTTTACTCATTGATTTTTTTGTTTTTTTAGTAAAATAAAGAATCTTCCTCTGTTTTAAAAATAAGCTGGTGACACAAAGACAGGAAAGGCTATTAAAACATGATGAGATCAACATCCTGCAGTTGTCCTGTCTTGCACAAACCCAAAAAATACCAGTGTTCAAACAATGATTTTCCCAATCTTTCATCATTATGTGCAGTATCTTTAACAAATTATCTCTGACAAAGTACCTAATTTACAAAAATGGGCATTATTTACGAGACCCATTCTGTGCCACAGGTACCGGTACTTAGGAATATTTGAAAGCATTTTACCTTCCTCTATCACTGAAGTCAATATTACCTCCTTTTTTAAACATGTGTTCATGGAGGTCTACCACTGATGACCAAATCAAAGAAAAAGAAGCAAATTTAATAATTCCACTGCTAAGAGMTTAGAAGAGGAACTCCAGCCTTCGCCATCACATTAGCAGAGTCCATTACCTTAAATGTTGTTGCTTGACAAAATGAACAATCAGGAGAACTGATGAACAGGCTCAGATTTTGCCTGAGAAGGAAAGCAACTGCCAGAGTGAAGAGTGCTTCTGTCACAAAAGCTCCATCAAAAAAAAAAGTTCTCTTGAATTGGTTTCAAAAGCTTTTCAGTTTTAGCATCAAATAGAATTCTCATTCTTCACAATGCTGAATGAAGAATTGCTTTAACAGTGATGCAAAACCTTGCAAATACTACAAAAAGAAAGCAAGACAATACTTCGAGATACAAGAACCCAGAGCATTATCCAGACCTCAGCAGACAGCAAAACTTATACTGGGGAACCATAAAAATGTATTCTCTGATCATTTTGGTCTACCAGTAGGAGCAAGAGTATACTAGAAAATATCATAATAAGAT